GAAAAGACACGTCCGCAAACAGGCAACCTTTGTTTGCAGCAAAATGGTGGTTTAGAGCAACAATTTTGCAGATAATAATTTAAGTCTCTTTTTATTGCTAGTGTAAATACTTTTTGATTAGAAACAACTAATTGTGTACTACCAGTGTGATTGATTTGATAAAAAGTTCTAGTGAAAAAAATGAATATGTTCCTCGTTCCTCGTTGTACCTACCTAAATCGCCGGTCTCGTAAGTACTTTTGAATACCTGGTTATAAATTTCATTCTTGGGGTATTAAGCAATAAGTATTTCTTTTTGTTTAACATTTGCCTATTTCCAATCGTGACAAAATTATTATTAACTTTTAAAGTTTTTCTCTGCTTAAGAAAAGATGACATTTGTGCTTATTATTTCAATTTCAATAAAGGCATCTAAGACGATTTTATTGTACCTATTGTGTGGAATCAAACGAGTCAGTTGAGTACTCAACGGCTGGCGGGCGCGGTCGGTCGTTGACCCGCGGTGGAATTTCAATGTTTTTCCGTTTTTTAGAAGTGCTTATTTATTAGTTGTTTTTCACTGGATATGTAAGTTTGTTTGTTTAAAATGAATAACTACTCAAAACGAGGAAAGGACATAAAAATACACAAATTATAAATAAATACATGAAAAAAATATACTTCAAAAAAATCCGAAAAAAGACAGGCATACTCTGTACACATAACCCAACAATCTCACGAAGTTTTATAGAAACATTCAATTTCACCCTATATATACTTAACAAGATCGCGCGGTAAAAGTTTGTTAAAGTTAATTATTTTGTTTATAATATTTTTTTAAAGTTGTTGCTGTTTTCGTATCCAAAAATGCCATTAAGTAACATTTAAATTTTTTTACATCATTTGTTAAGAAATTGTTTATAAACAAATAGACGAAGTTTAATATTTAAATTTTTTTTTTACCATTATGTTGTCTTTTTTAGCTCTCGAATAAAAATATAACGGTAGTTAGAATTTGTTTATAACAAATTGTTAAGTTAACATACAATGTTTTTTTTTAATAATTAAAATTCGTTAATAATAATTAAATTCAATTTTTTAATAATTAATTAAAAAAAAACTTAAAATGATTTAATGAATGTCCTCTTTTCAATTACCTACATAATTAAATCCGGAAACAGTTGTAATCGTTCGTGCTATTCACGAAATAAGAGTTCTGTAGATTATTTAACAACTCATTTATTTATAAGAATCATAACTCCTGAATAATTCAGTGATATTTTATATGTCACTAACGGCCGCACTCAAAGACGTCAATTAAAGGTAATGCTTCATCAAGTCGCGTGTTGTCTTATTTTGTTTTATCAAGAAATTTTGTTTCTACAAAGAAAGTGACAGCATCAAAAAGTTGATTCAAAAAGTTGCCGTACTCAGAGACGCCAATTAACTTTTAATTTAAATTCTTTAATTAAAAGTTAATTGGCGTCTCTGAGTAGGGCAGCGATTCAGCGCGACTTAAGGGTCTCACAAATTAAATTTTGCCCATTGCTTAGAAAGGGGTTTGTGATTAATCAAGTATAACGCGCGCTCCAATTCAAGCGGGAAATCCGCTATGCCCTACGTCTTTTAAAGGTAAAATAGACGCTGGAAAAAGTAAATACTTAATATATAAAACTATCATTAACGATATTATATTTATTTTAAAAGAGATAGGGCATAGCGGATTTCTCGGTGGAATTGGAGCGCCCGTCTGGAAAAGTAACCTTTTTCTTACAGAAGACCACAGTTAAATAATACTTCCTACCTTTTGGTATTGTGTTTCTGTTGGTGAAAAAGGTTTTAGGGCTCCACGGGGACGGGGATTGGGTTCAGGCCAGCAAGGTGAGAATGGCTGGAGCAGCACACTTTTTTATCGCATTAGTTATCTTCAGACTTTACTAGTCCCCACTCACACTTAAATATCTGGCTGGGGAGGGGAAATTTTCTGCGCCTTGTATTAAAAAAATATCAAAATATATCTCACTGACTATTAGATGCTAACGCATATATCTTTAGATAGGTATATAGAACCGAAACCACTTGAGTATTTATTCACTGGCAAATCTCGAAAACTACTAAAATATGAAGGTGAAATTTTACACGAAAGTAATTAATGATTAGGAGTCGTTTCGTAAAAAGGATGTTAGGAAACTTCCTTAAAATGGGGATAAATGTGTATAAATTAAAATTAAAATTTTTAAAGTTGTTAATATCGGAGTTGGTAATTAATTAGGCTTCCAATTACCTAGAAAAATAGAAAATGGTAGTATTTTCTAATTTATACTCTGAGGGGTTACAATGAAGGATCAAAGTTTTGTTCTGCGCGTGCGAAGCCGCTGACGGAAAGCTAGTACCTATTTTTACAAGAGCATAATAAAAATAATTATTAAGCTCATTCTATTTGAAAGTAAAAAGGTTATAGGTTTACTTTAAAAATATGACTATACCAGATTCATGAATTCAATATTAATAAAAACAAAACCAAATTTAAAACTACGCGTATGATTATTGTTGTTGTTTTATTATTTCTTTATTTGGTCCCGACATCGCACGCGCATCACAGAAATCCCGAGATGTTGCCAAACTGCTGGCTGTAGCTGTGTAGCGGCATTGAGCAACGTCGCGCATATTTACTCTCGCTCGCATCATTCATAACAACCCAGTGCAGCGCTATGCTAATTGGTTATAGTAAAATACTACGACCAATCAGGATGGGCCCGTAAAATCACCCGTCTAGCGCTTGCACAGGAAAGATTTTTTGAAGTGTTCACGCGCCCGTGACCCCCACTGTACCTTGTTTTTAGCGAGTTTCTTTCTAAAAACAAGGTACATGGTAACAATCCCGTAAATAACTTTATTACTTCTAATTTTTTGTTAACTTTAAAAAAATAATTTAAACAGCATAATCAACTTTAATAAACTTTTATCGCGTGATCTTGTTAAGTATATATATACGAAGAGCTCCACAGAGCCAAAAAATATTTTAAATACCATATACCCTATTAGATACACCACGAGCGCTCAAAATGTGTCCCAATCAAGAAGTGCTTGAACTCCACTCCAGCACTTCTTGGTTCACAGTCACGCGCGGACCGTTACAAAGTCAATATGCCACAGAGCTCCGCGAAAAATTGCGAAAATAATACTTAGAGTACGAAAAGTGTCGTTTTTTCGACAGGTATCTTGTCAATGTTTGTTAATTTAACGCATTTGAAGCAAATTTTGATCTAATACTTACTATAAACTGATTTAATATAAAATTTTTGTGATATTAAAATACATGGTCGGTTATACGTCACCATATAGCCGTCTCTTTTCCTCGCGGTCCGTGCCTGCTATATTGCTAACAACGCGTTCAGAATTGCGCGTAGAGTCAAAGAACTAAGGTCTAAATTCTTCCGCATATAGCAATAAGTCGTAAAATTTTACGAGCTTGCATTTCGAACTGTCAAAAGTCCTTGACGCATGCGTTTTATTTAAGACCTTATACAGTACGTATTAAAGGTTACTTTCAATTTTTAAATAATGCCTTATATTGATTTTGACTATTCGATCATCTTACGGAGCTCCGTGGATCGTTCAATGTAGCTTTTGGACAGGTTTCGGGCACGATTTTGTTCGTGTTGTGTATCTAGGGTATCGTGGGTTTATTATTTAAACTTTTATGTCGTCATGTGAAAAATATTAGCTTATTAACAATAGCATAACTTTTTGAAAAATTAATTAAAAAAAATTCCAACAGGCATATATTCTTTCAAGTATGGGGTCATCCATAAATTACGTCACACGAATTTCATGTCTTTTTTGCCCCTCCCCCCGTCCTTGTCACAGCTGGTCACATTTGTAAGACTCCCCCCCTCCCTAGTGTGACGTCACATATTTTGCAAATTTACATTTAGAAATCATTGAATGAAAACAGCGGTTCTGTAATCAGTTTTATTTCCATTTAAATTGTTTTTTCATTATTATTATAATCAAATCAAACAATTAACAAAACAAAAAAAATACCGAACAAAAAGTGATTGACTATGTTAATTAAAGAAATTAACAAAACATAAAATATTAATAGCATTATAATTAAATTAAAGATACAAACTTAATAATCTTGAGTCCATGGACATTGATCCCACTCCTTTAAATTATTTATAACTGGCATAGCACCACTTTGTTCTCGTTTGGGTTGTTAATGCTTTCGTAAAGTAATAGTTTCAACACTTAGATTTTAATATATTTTGAAATGTGACGTCACGAAATTTAGGACCCCTCCCACCCCTTGTCACACGATGTCACATTTCGTCGACCCCCTCCCTACCCCTTAAAGTGTGACGTAATTTATGGATGGCCCCTATCTAGACGATACCATAATTTTTCAAATTTTTAAATTAATATTTGTTACTATAAAAAAATAATTATGTGGTACGCTGTCTTTAGCAGCAGTGCACCCATGCGGAAATGGCTGCGCGGAGCCCTATTTTCAGCGTTAAATTAATATTATTATTTAATAGAGCTAGAGTTCCGAGAGCTGGAACTTTTTTTCAGAAATTTCCTTCTCCTTAAGCACCTTTTTTCCAAATATCGTAAATATAAATAGTTTATGAGTTATTAAGAAAAACCTAAATACCTCTTTTTTTTATCTTATTTTGTTAAAAACAATTGTAATTTTTTACGTGCAGTAATATCCTCAAAACTCCTTTTTCTAGAGGCCATTTCAAATCTAATAGCTATTGCTCATATTTTTAGGAAAGCTCCTCTATCTCAATTTTTTACGTTTTTCAACTTGTTGACTGGACTAACTGTATGGAAAACAAACTAAACCAACCAAAGAAGAGTGATTTTGACGCTTTAGGGAGTTTGTCGTTAAACAAGTGATGTAACATGGATTTTATACTGTGTATAAATGATACAAACTTTCCCTAAAAATTTTAAGAAAAAGTATAATATATTCAAAAAATTGTCTAAAGAAAAGGCACAAAATATCATACCTCTGAAAGCACTGCTCAATTTTATTTATTTCTTCTAATCTTGATTCTGGTATGAAAAAAATAGGGAATGGTATATCCCTTCTCATCAAATTAGTGCCTCCCTCATTCCATACCGAAGAACTGGGTTCTAATGAAGAACATGTACTGCCAGGGCCAGAGAAATACTCATTTGGACATCTCGAGTCTTGAGAAAAAGCTGGTATGCTGAAAATTATTCAAAAGATGTTAATATTAGTGTTACTGAAATTAACAAAGAAAACAGAAAATGCAAATTTTATGTAATTTATATTTTTGTAAATCTTACCCCAAACTTGAGTTGTGATATAACAACACTCCAGCAATATTTTCAGGCTGCTTTAAAAAGGTATCAATGACCTCACGAAACAGTGCTGTGTTAACAATGGCCATATATGAGCCTGCAGTGGCATTTTTTACTAACCAGTTTGCATCACTGAGTTCCCTAACAAAATGCACAACTCCTACTGCACCATTATTAGCAGCTACAAAATAATACACATACATTTGTTATTTTTTATGTACAATGGAATTAAAAAAACAAAAGTTCATTATACAATTCACATACATAATAATTTGAATTTGAGACCTATAAATATATGTTCCTAGTGGGAGACTGTCCACAAAATATTAGGTGATAAAATAAAAAAGGTGTAATTGTATCATTAAAATTATGCAAATTAATTTACTCAATGTAGAGGAGGAATAAAAATTAACTTACATGAACAACCTGCTTGGTGGGAGCCATTTAATCTTCTGAAACAAGCTGCACCGCCTTCTATTGAAGAATAGATTTGTTCGTGTAATCTTTCACCACAGGTCACTAAAACCAACATAAAATTATACAAAAAGAAGAGAGGAAGGGACCCAACTACTAGTGAGTGTCGATAGTAGTTCGGAGATAACAAATCTTTTTTAATAATTTAATAGCTAATTTAAAAAGAATATAAAAATGAATTAACTTATGTCCAAAACTTACATTTTATAAACACGGCACAAATCAATAGAAAAATATACCGACAAAGCATTTTTTAATGTGACACGGTCTCTTCACAAATTGTTAACAAAAACTAATATTTAAAATTATTTTTATGTATCCTAATGGATTCTATTTATTTATAAACTTATTAATTTTTGTGAAGGTAAGGCAGGTAGGTAGGTACTATAATATACAATTTGTCATCACATATTTTTTTAACGTTCTCCCTTTTACGTAAAGCAAAGGTAACAAAGCCTATACGGCCTAATGTTCAGTTTCTTTTGTTTTTTTCTTTTACATTAGAATGTGGGTGTGATGCATTCTAAGGTTTCTTGTAGTGTTTGGCACGAAATGTCAGCTTTCTCGATAAGCTTCTGTGAGGTAGTCAACACTACAATAAAGTTCTAACGTCCACTTGACCGGAATAACGTATATTTTAAAATTCCACTAATTCTTCAGTTGTGTTCTTTCACAATATCCACTATGAACGAATTAAAGAATAATTAAAATAAGACGATACTACGTATTGCTATATTCAACGTTACTAACATTTTTACAAAGTATTTCTCAGCTCAATATGATATGTATAGGCGGTATACCAGATTCTATTTCTAGAACATTGATAGGGGACGAACACATTGCTCCAGTAATAAGTCTGAAAGCGCTTATTCCACCTGACTAAATTCAGACGTCCTGGTTAGGATCCTAAAAAAAAGGCTAATTAGAAGTTTCTGATTACACTTGACTAATTTAGTTACTGATTCAGTCAGTAACAAGCGCGCGGCGAATTCAGTCGGACTTTTTCGTAATGGCTCCAGTCCTGTCAAAGCAACAAAAAATCTGTCTTCGCGTAGGCCTGGCCGTTGGCTCAATAAAAATAAAATAAAGTAAAAAACGAAAAACATGGGTGAAAGAATATTAATATTATTTTTATTATTTTTGTTCTAAAGATAAGGGATATGTTTATACGATTCGATTATGTTACTCATAACTTCTTTTTCTTTTTTGCCGCCGACATCACAACACGTCCTCACACACAGGCGCGGTCCGAAAGGGGGGGGGGGGGGGTGTCACAGGTTACATGACCCTCCACCCCCAAAATCTAAGGTCAAACTGAAAAATCTCAAAAATGTGCCAAATAATGAAAGGAAGTTAAATTTATACAACGATAAATTTATAGTTTGCTGACATCTAGTGGTGTTTTTATGAACTACGTACGACGGCCAAAATAACTTGGAAATGACATCTAGTACTAGTTTAGAAACAAGGAACCGAACTACGTAGTTTTGGTAATCCTAGCGATCGATATGCGTCGTTATGATAAAGATTGTATAACAATATTCTAATAATGTAATTTGTCGCTTTATTATAAAAGATTCAAGATAAAGGCTGTCTACTTAAAACGTAGTTGAGAGCTAACAATATTAGAAGAGCGATTAACAGATTTAGCTCTTCTAAACATTCACCCGGAAATAGTACCAGACGTCTCACATATTATCACCCGATTCGCAAGATAATTGATATGAAGCTCTTCAAAGCCTGCCGTTATCAAGTCAACTAGTCGAAGAATTCAACTAGTTGATCGACTAGTCGATGGATGGTAGTGGACGTTTTAGTTTCGTCGACGACCCACCTCTAGTCCTCAGTGTCCAGGGGCGGCTTTAGGGAGGGGGACGAGCCGGGCAACCACCCGTGGCTCTGCGCCTGGAGAGTCTCCGCGCCCTCACAAAGCCAACCAAATCAGAAAGCCTATTCGCGAACTGCTTTTGACATACGGAAGCGTTAATCACCGAGCTACTTAGTGATCCACCACTGTTTTATTATATCAGAATGCGTCACACCGATATTCTAGGGTAAAAAAAGAAAATTATTGAACTTAAGATTAGACTGTGCATTGTCCCCTTTGCCTTTCTCGAAAAGGAAGCTTGTTAAAAAGAAAATTGTAATAATAGGGATGTCCATGTGCTGGTGATGTACTGGGATATTTGATTAATCGACTTCAATAACTTGAAAAAAAAACTCAAAACATTGTGCACAAGCAACAAGCATACAATTGAATTTGTGTTGTATCATAAAAAAGAAAAGAAAAATTTTAAACAAACTTTTATTAAAATGCACCAATAAAAATGAAAATAATTTTATCTATAAAACTTTTGTTATCATCTTATAAAGTCATGATTCTATTTTGAAAATCGATATGTTATGTATTCGAGAAGTTTTAGACTGCTATCTAATATGCTTTGTTAAGAAAAAAAAAATCAAATCAGCACATACAAGTTTCTGTAAATAAAGTGTCTTTACATTTGCTTCTTCTAATTTTGAATTTTTGACAAGTTACATTGGTAAAGGCAAAATCAAGCCATTTATTCCGTAAAAGGAGTGTTAATTTACTTAGGACACTGTGCGTAAGCTCTGGCGAGTACAAAAATTCGCTTTGGTTTTTAAAGATTTAGCACTGAAAAGATTTTTTTTTAATTTACTATTGAAATTTTTGATGTCTCTCAGATCATGTGAGAGTCTAAGTAAACCACGTACCTCCGCAGCCTCACGCGTGACGATCGTGCCCTGGCGTTCAAAACTTTGCTCCAGTATACTCATAACTTCTTTGGATTCGTCGGTGGTCAATAATAAAGTGGCTACACAATCACGTGCTTTACCTTAGAGCACATGATGTAGGCGGTTCAGGTTTTCTAAATCAGAAAAATGAACTTTGGAGAAATTGTAGATTTTCTTGAAAATTAGCCACTCTAAATGACCGCAACTAAAGGAAGTCGAATTCCCTATTCTTTATGAACTCACGGCGGATGTAATCGCTTTGGATCACTTTTTCATACCCGAACACCGATTTGGACAATCGTTTGTGACAATGGTTGCCTCAGATGGACATTTTTCCGCCACAAGATCGCCTAATAAAAGTTTATTGGACTGTACCTGGTCGGCTACCCAAGCCTCTGTCCGAGACGTAGACTTTACTTTAAGAGACTTGAGGCTGGCACCGACTTCCAAGCTTGCTAATTCGGCCGCAAGCTCCAATTCCTCAATGCGCCGTCACTCGTTTCCCAACTGCACCTGGCGTTCGAACTGTTGCCGTGCAAATTTAACATCAGCCGTCACCCAAAGAGCTCGAATTGTAGTGGCCTGAAGACGCCGCTGAGAGGTCCGGGAAGAGTTTTCTTTTCTGCCTGAGTGTTCGAGTTCCATAGAATCCGGCTCGAAGGACCAATTTTATAAACGAAAGAAATAAAACGGAAAATAAAAAAATATAATCTACCTCCGTCAATTTTAAGACATCGCAGAGCTGGTTTTTATTACTTTAATTTTCCATTTTATTTCTTATATTCAGTATAGACTAATCCGAATTACATATGAGCCTACTGAACTCCAGGATAGAGGAAACCTGCGAGTTTGGTAGGGTGTGGACATCAGATGCCGCATTCTCCTTACCAGTAGGTGCCCCTAATTATCCGAATCACACAATGGTATACAACCTTCAATAGTATCACGACAGGGCCTTTTGCTTACTGAGGGCCCGGGCTCAGGGCTGCTTCGGTCGTCGGCACTAACAGCGTCATTGTCATCAGCCTTACCAAGGCAATCCTCTGAACTGTCACCATTAACGTGAATGATGAAATCTTCTGTAACCAAATCCACGACATGGTCACTCTTGACATATTGCTCTTCTATATCCTTTACCTTTTGGCTTAACTTCCCCCAATCCCAAGCACTCATCAGCAAAACTTTTTCTTGGATCAGCTCTATACATTTAGCAACACTCCACTTCACATTTTTACTGCCTACATATTGCTTTATATCAGAGCATGCCATTTCGATCGGATTTAGATCTGGGTGGTATGGTAGCAGTCTCAGCAATTAATGCCCTTGCTCTGCTAGTATCCAGGAATTAAAAATATTTTTAATCTATCTTCGTTAGTCCGTATTAAATTGTATAATTGAGGTTTGAATAGAGTTTCATCATATTTTATGCCCTTTTCAGTAACCAAGCCTGTATGTCAGTTTTTTTTAATTAGACGTTGATGTTCCACTTCTTATTTTGATATGATAGGTTGTCGACTACCACGACAGAATCAGACGGTAAGTTTAGCATTAACTGTCTCCCCAGCCATTTTTCATAATTCTCATAATTATATTGTCGCGGTAGTTAGCAGTGCGTTCGGTGTGAACCCAGTGGATAATGACCCGCTGTCCTTTGGAGATGGGAGACCTTTCGTGGTACCATCGGTCCAGGCTTTTGGAGAAGAATGGGATAAATCTACATGTGATTCATTGGTACATACGATAGGCCTTCCCTCTTGGCGATATTGGTTTTATATTGCGTAAGTATTCGATACGATGCAAACTTATATTTGAAGTTTCAATCAGTACTTTTCGGTTGTTTTCAGTATTTTTCCACCGCAACCATTAACTCTTAATAGGCTAATTGCCGATATTTTAAAAAGTAGTTAATAATATACCTTGATGTTTATTTAACCCCAAAAAAATAATATTTTTTTAAAAAAAGTACATTAACAATATGTATTTTGTAATTCAAAAAACTTATTCAAATTTCCTGCGAAAACGCTCTAGACTGTCATGGCGTCTTTGACCCCGTGCAAAGCAAACAATACGCTTTACGCCGACTATTAAAATTATTTAGTTAAAAATGAATCCATCGTATTACAAGTACTGTTTAGTGTCCTAGTATAAAAGGACAAGCATAAAATGCCAGGCAAATTATTTATATGCCACAAATGCGGAAAAAATGGTTAGAACTTGCAAGGAGGGATGGTGCCTATTCATTGTTTATCAACAAATACAAGAATAATTTTGTGATGAACATTTTGATATAAGTATTTTGCATAACATAATCTATGAAATCAAAATGTTATACAAGCCGGATAAATTATATTGCATTATATTGATAAAACAATAACAATAGGTTGAGGTTAGGTAAGTGGATTTATTATATGCTTCGGTAAATCCCAATTCCATGGATGTATTATGCTTCCTTTCAATAATTATCTGAAAACAAACTGATAAATTGTATCAAAGTAACAATAAAATGAATGAGAAATCAATGAAATGTATGAAAACGGCAACCACACGTAATGTTTTGCACATGGTGACGTCAGTCTTTCTGATTGGTGTTTGCCGTCACGTGATCTAATGCCTATTTTATTCTAATTTATTTTCTAAAAATAATAATAATCTTTAATTATTATGATAAAT